CACACACACACACACACACACACACACACACACACACACACACACACACACACACACACACACGCGCGCGCGCACAACCCCGCCAGGTTAGCGGCGTCCCCGCCTCTGGCCCCTTCACGGGCGATCTGGACCCGCTGGCCGCGCTGGTGGAGCAGGCTGAGGTGGCGATGGCCCGCCAGCTGACTCAGCTGCCGGGTGCGCCTCACTCGGGGTGTGTGGTTGTGCTGCAGTGAAGCGAAGCGCTTGCGCGCTTGCCCGCATGTTTCAGGTGGCGGGAGCCATGGCCCCGGCCGCAGACGCCCGCTGCGCCACGCCCGCCGCGCGCGGGTACGCCGGGCCCTGGGTTGTGGCACAGCCTGAGCCGCTTGCCGGCCTGGCTTTGCTGTGGCCTGCCCTTCGGCCCCTGACCCTTCCCCCCACTCCCGCCCTGCCGCCAGGGCGACAGGCCGTGCTTGTTTTGCGCCTGTGCGCCTGCACCCAGAATGCTATCTTGTCACGGTGCACCCGCTGCATTCGCAATGTGCACCCTGTGACCGCAGGCTGGAATGATCTGGCCGACTTCTTCGAGTTTGTAGAGGACCGGGCGGCCGAGCTGCGGGGCCTCGCTGACGAGGACTCTCGTGTCGGCGGCGCAACCGCCGCTGACGAGGACGACGATGATGAGGGCATCCCTGCTGAGTGGGCGGAGCGCATGCGGTCGGCGGCTTGGCGGCGCCGGGCGGCGGCCGCGCAGCAGCAGCAGCAGCAGCAGCAGCAACAGCAGCAGCAGCAGCAGCAGCGGGACGCGGAGGGGCGGTCGGAGCCGGAGGCGCCGCCGCCGCGGCCGTGGGAGACGGCGGAGGGGCAGCGGGCGGTGCAGGCGCTGCAGGGGATGGGGGCGCGCGTCTACCTGCCGGGAGGCAACGATGACGTCGACTGGGGGGTGCTGGCAGGGTGAGGCGCTGCTGCTTGGCCCTAAGGCTAAGGGCGGTGTTCAGCAAGCTGGAGTGGCCACGCCCGTCTGCTGCTGCTGCTGCTGCTGCTGCTGCTGCTGCTGCTGCTGCTGCTGCTGCTGCTGCTGCTGCTGCTGCTGCTGCTGCTGCTGCTGCCGCCGGCCCCGCCCATCGCCTGCCTCATCAATTCCCACGCGGCCATCAAGCTCTTCCCTCAACCCCCAGGTCGTGATGGGCACCGCTCTCACTGAGCAAATCTTCCCGCGCCCCCGCTCGCTCCCCGCCGTAACCGCCCCTCGGCAGCTACGAGGACCAGAAGCGGTCGATAGAGGACTGCCTGCTGCTGGTGCGCGCCGCCGCCCGCGCCGTCCCCCCTCGCCCCACTTGTGCCGCTCGCGCCCGCGCTGCCCCGCCCCGCGCGCAACCTCTTCGCTCGGCTCCACTCCG